CGAAAGTGTCAATTTCCCGTAGGCAGCAAAGTTGCCGATCAGTCGTCGAGCGCTGACGCTACAATTGACCTATTACAGTGAACCGAGAAAAGACTATCGAAATAGAGAGTTATGTTTTATCACCAATGATCGAAGAGTTTATGGTCTGAATTAGCTGCTCTGCAGTACCAATTGCATTAGTTCCGCTGACTTCTCTCTTGCACTCGGCGTTATTATCGTTGTACTCACTACTCAGTTTTCATTTGATCAGGCTCGTTATGATCCGAACGAACGAGAGGAAAAAATCAATTTCCGACGCAACTACATTACGCACCCGCGTGTCCTGCGTGAATGTGCACACCATGTGCATCTTGCAAATATAATCCAACAATGAATTCGTTGAGTAACCTTAGACAAAGATATAAACGTATATTTTGTATAAGGTTTCGATAAGATACTCTACCCAGAGCGCACACTTGCACTCCAGGAACCTTAATTGAATAGCTTCTAATCAGCCGTAATGTATATTTTCTCAAGTACAATAATATTGGTTCCACGTGCGATGCTGAGATTGATTGCCACTTTATTTTAGCCGATGTGGTTTTCAGATCGTGTACAATATATTTTATTGCGCAAAAAGGGGGAAGGGGTGTGACGTAACACTTTCGATCGCTCACGTTTGCCGATTTATTATCTTCGAGCATTTTGTTGTGATACCTGTTATAAGAGCTTCGATAAAAATCGATCTCTATTGTCATAGTCGTCCCTTGTAACGGACTCAAAAAGGAACTTTCACGATCTTGCAAAAATTACTAAACTTTCGACCGTAATCTTCGAAATTTCGTGTGAAAGATGTTAGTCAACTGGCTGAATTGCCACACATTAGCCGAAACACATCGCACAGCCCGCGCGGCATAAAAAATTATCAAGCAATAAAAAAGTAAACATGGAATGACACTAAACGTTAAAAATCGCGTAGCCTTACGAAGTACACGAAAGCGAGGTAATTAAAAAAGTGATATGAAATCACACACACCAATTAACGTGAAGGTAAAAGAACTGTCCGAAAGCAAAAAAAAAATGGAGAATCTTGGAAATTCTCAAAGCTATACAAGAGACGACGGCGGCGGCATCGTCGCATTCTTCAAAAGTCATCCCATCAGCGACTGATACAATCATCGTAAATCGCTCCATCTAAAAATTCATGCGCTCGTCTTGCGCGCATCAGCGGCGGCAGAAGCAGTCTCCTACTATCACCTCCATCATCGTTTCGTGCTCACACCGCCGTGGCGAGAGAGAAAGATGAAACCCCTAAGCATATAAAAAAAGGGAAAAAGCGAAAGGGAGGGGAAAAAACACGATGCTATGGTATCTCTTTGCTCTATTTAAGTTCTGCGAGGATACGTTATACGCCATGTCGTCGTGCGCTTTTTTCCTCTCGAATTAGGGATCGTCGTGCACAAATCAACGATCGCTGAGAACTTTTTCCTACGTAGATTACTGTCATTCGTACATAATGAGTGACGTAGTAAGAAATGATTTGTTTCGAATAGTTCTTTTCTGTCGGTAGAAATTCACATGATTTAAAGAATCTTTGAGAAATATTTCAGCTATGCATCGCAAAGATATTCGAAACGATGTCTTCGAAATAGCTCCTTTCGAGCTACAGGAAACAAATATTTCATGTTGTAACCATACAACCATTAGTCAAAAGAAGAAGAGGAAGATTCTCTGCTCATCAGCAACTTAAACATTCAATTTTCGATCGATCCTTAATTTTTTTTCCTTTCGCCCATTGATGCACACTTCATTAGCCAAACAAATCTCTCCATTTTTCATTATACCATGTATATCCGTTTGACGCATGGTCGAAAAAGAAAGAAGAAAAGAAGGCGCTCCTCAATCTTGTGCTTGCTCCGTTAGTAGAATATCACGATTTCAGATCGCTTCTATCTTATATACGACGAATGCAGGTCACACGGCTGCCGCTGCTGCGATCGGAGCGCGAGATTATACCAGCAGCCGCCGTGGTTGACGCATCGATGGACAATGGCAGACGGTTCGTCGCAGTAATTGATGCTTGTTTGCCAGGAAATTATTTTTCATTCGGAGAAACACTTCTGGTGGGTGTTTTTTTAAATGGAAGAACAAATTTTTGGGTCTCGTTTTTTGTCGCCAATATCTCATCGATGTGTTTTTCATGATAATCAGGCTTAAAAATATAAACACGCGTGTGAGAGCAGTTCATCGATACATTTGCGGTTCGCATAGCGCGAAAGTGATTAAAAAAATATATTCTCCAAGTAGATACCCTTTTATCAATTGTATGTAACTGAGTGTCCGAAAAATTGTAATAAACAGTTGCTCAGTCATTACATAACAGGTGTATTTATCATCGATCGAATTCGATGAACGAAAGCCCGAGGAAGATTAAAATCTCCTTTGGCTGAATTTGAGTTATACGACAAAATTATATTTTCGGAATCTTTCTGCGAAGCGAAATATCCGTGGAAGAAGTAATCGCGACGATATGGCTTTTTAATGACCAGTTGAAACACTGATTCATAGATCTAATGACAGGCTTTATGAATAATATACTTTACGAATAATATACTTTCGACAGTTTTGAGCCAAAGATGAGTCACCACCAGAAGAAAAAAATAAGGCTGACACTAATGAATACTTGCAGTTAAAATTTCTCAAAGATCGATCATGCGCTTATGCGTTTACGGGAGATCGATGACTAATGGTATCGACACGCGAACGGACGTTCATAGAAATTAGCAAAAAAACTTAAATCTGGTACTACCTTTCTTGTATGACGGAATATTGCCTACAGCCGTGTATTTAACATATTCTTTGTATCAGAGAAAGAGCAATGTAATGAAACAACCTTTCTGATCATTGATAATTTAATTAATCAACTTGATTTTGTATTTCTTTCATCGACAAATGAAAAAACAGATTTATCATTTAATGGTAATCTGTTCACAAATGTTTCGTGGCGTCAAATGAAAAAATTTGTCAGCAAAACAATATCATCTATAACATCAATATGTCTACAAAATGAAATCCCATAGATATACGTAATAATCGTCGTTGAGTTATTTATCGTGGGTACAACACATTGAAAACGTTTGATTTTTATACCACATACCCTTAAGTGACAAGAGATAACGAAAAGTATATTCCAGGCGCACGAGTGAGTTTAATCACGCGTTAATCGGCATAAGTGTGGTCTGCCGTATTCGTCGTTGATGCATTCCGACAATGCTTGTTGAGCCTTCGGAGCAGCACACATGTATCTCAAGAACAGCAAAATCAAAAGAAAAGTTACTACCCCTCTCCTATACAGGCCGGCCATTAGGCTCTATGCGCGTGCCCGGCAACTGACACTCAACTGACGTCGCTCTACCGGAGCTTTATATTCTCTCTCTGTGAGCACTAAAGGATTTATTATTAAAACCCTTACTCGAGGCCTTGCTACGTTGCTGCGTTCTTCTTGTTCTTATTCTTGTTCTTATGCGAGCACTGCACAAACTACTGCACGCGAATTTTGAAGTGAAAGCAAATGTTTATTTGCCTTCTATGGGAAATTTGATGAAGTCCCCTCTTCGTTCGCTGATTAAAAATCTTGAAGCATTTCGAAGTGAAACCAGAAATCGAGGATTTTTACGAGTATAAACTGCAATCATTCATGAAATCTTATGACAAGATTTGAAAAATCATTCTAAATTTACATAACTTTTCTTGATCGTTATCTAAACCTGCCGCGGTAAATAAAACACGAATCAGTACGTTATATCAAATGTAAGGTGTGACATGGGAGAACTTTCATATATATTTTGATAAATTTAAGACTTTTAGCTGGGAGCACTTGTAACTTACGCAAATGGTACTTTCGATATCGTTAAAAATCATGTACCGATTACTTAATATTCCACTTAGACTTCAACCTGAAACGCTATTTCCCTGCGTAATATATAACGCAAAAATTTTAGTAGAAGAGAACATCGAAAAGAATAATTTTCTTACTTCAGACTGGCAGCTCGTACTATCCCTAATAAATAAATAACGCTAGAACCAACAACACTAAAAGCCCAAGCGTAAAAGCAGTCATCGTAAACATGTTACAACTGTCTGCTACTTATACATTTTATATATGTAGCCAAGCGAGCAATAACCCCTTTTCTAAACTCTCTCTCTCCCTCCTTGACCATAGGCGATCTGCATAAATCACATCGACATTTTCACCCAAAAGTCCATCGTAAAGTACTGTGTTTCGAGTCAACCTATCGAGATTGTTGCACTGACTAATTGATAGATATTCGATAGCGACACGCAAAAGTGTCAGCGGAGAGAGAAAGAGAGCAAAAGCGAAGGGGAGTTAAAGTATGTAATGACAAGCAGCACTAGTGCAACATGTGAAATTCCAACGTGAAACCAGGCGTGAACGTGCGCAAGTGTCATGGCTGCCAAAATGAAATTTATTATGAAAGTCCTTTTGCGCCTTACAATACGATAACGAGATTATTAGAACCACATGAGAAAAGAGAATTCACATACACACACACACACACAATTTTCTTATCTTATATATTATATATGTATAAAGTTAACGCTGTACTGCATAACGACATCTGAGGTAGACCCGGATGGGAAATAATGACTTATCTATAACATTTTTTGCATTCTAGTTGCACCATTATTAAACGCCATTATTAGAAATGAAATGTATGATTTCGTCATTATTAATGATTGTCGATGACTGTTTGCTATCGATTTTTCATATCTCCCTATGGCTACTTATAAACAATCTGAGTCGGATTTTTTCAACTTTAAAGTTTTTTATTCTTTCTTACATTCATGCTGTGCAACGTTTGCTCACGTTATTACGTTATTGATTTTTCTTTAATAGTGTTGCAATCATGTCGAATGATTTATAAACCCTTTATACAAATTTCCATTAAATGAAAAGTATTTTTATTTCCATTAATAATCGATCTTGTCTCTGATTACAGATGGAGAACCGCGGCTACGAGGATGAGCCGAACAAGTCCTCACGTCACTCCCGCCACATTCACCAACAGCATCAGCAGCAATTATTGCATCCTCAACACTTGCAATTGCATCAACAACAGCAACAACGGCCTTTGTCGTTCATCGGGAGCAACATGCACAATCACTACCCGAACCTCCAAGACTTGCATTATACGCCGACGGCACCGACTGCATCCGTTCATCAACCACAACACCAACAACAACAACAAAAACGAGAACAGCAGCAGCAGCAACGCCATCCACACAATCACTTTGTACCGATCAAATTTGACCCTTATCGTGGCATGGAACACGTCTACGAGGATATCGTGTCTCCTTACACCCTCGATCCTGGCGGCGGAGGCGGTTTCCACAGGAATCTCACGCTACCGCTCAGGAGAACAAGTCAAAGCTGTGAATCCCTTGAAGGTCAGAGCTCGTCGGTGCGCGTGACCAGTAGGGAGAGGACGAGAGGCTCGGTAATCGATCGACTTACCAGAGAGGAAAGGAATTGGTAAGTGTATGAAGATTAAAAAAGAATGGGTTAACAATATTTCGGAATTCATTGATTTTTGGTGACTTAAAATCACAAATTTTTATTTATTTAATATTTAATAATGAAAGTGCTCGTTATTTAATTTATTTAATTACGATTTACATATTATTTGTTCTTGAAAAATTCGTATTTGTAAAATAAGTGTCAGAGATTAATAATTTCTTAATAAAATATAGATTAGTACAAAATATAATAAAGCTTCGCTGAATCTTTTTTTCGGAAATTTATTCATCAAATCTTACGCTGTGGCGAACGTGTATCCCAAACTCAATCAACTATATATCTTCATAGTTAAGAAAAAACGAAAAACAAAAAAATATCATCTCAGTCAATTAAAGAAGTGTCAGCTCGTTGCTCGTTCAGATCAGCCTAAACTCAAGTTTGCACTTGAGAAATACATCTAAACGCGAGTAGCTTGATTTACATGTGCCCTCGACAAGCTGTACAGAAAGAAAACTATGTCAAACACATCCAACACTATAGATTTGATTTTATAATTGACAGTGTCGACGACGACGCGGAGGAAGAGGAGGAGGGTGGCGGTGGTAGCGCATCGAGCTTAGGAAGTGGCAGCAATGCAACTGATCGCCGACGACGTCGCAAGAAGGACTGTAGGCATTGTAACAAACAGCAGAGGGTTTACGAGGAACGCGAGGCCGAGTTGCGGGCCATTTTCGCCGGCCAACCCGGGGTCGTCTACGCCATCGGATGTACAGCCACTGATTGTAACACCAGTCTTGGTCAGTATTATAGTGTACTATCCATCTTTAGTGTACTTTGTTGTGCGTTACGTTGACAATGTCGTCGAGCTGACCGGCGCGATACTTGTGCAATGGTGTTGATTAGAATACGTGTCAAGGAGGCGGCGGTTTTCGGCGAATTGGTCAATGCTGTGACTATTGACGATAGTATTTTTGGTGAATCCTGTAAGATATCATTAATTTTAATCAAGTAAAATTCGCAAGCCCAAATGAGCGTATTTTTAAAAGTTCAATATTAACGCATATCGGCATATTAACGACTTTTCAAGTTTTAGAAAAGTTCACACCTATAAATTGTGCCCTTGATGGTCGTTCTTCTCATGGACATTAATAACGTACGCGCGTTTCGTATACGTGTAAATTTGTAACTGACACCGCGCTATAATAGCCAATATGCAGTCAGTAAAAGACATCCTTTGCACGCACTCTTATAGCGATCTGCAATCAAAATAATCTTATCATCCCATCGTCCGAAAACAAGCTTGTTAAACAATCGTCGTTTTTTGCAATTAACGCGAAGCATACGACTTAACCCGGCGTCATCGTTATATGTGGCTTACAGTATTCACGCATCGTTAACCATCGTCATTTCAGAGATCTCTTTCTTGCCATTAACAGTGAAACGTAAAATATTTCCAACAGTGAGTGGCAATGGTTTGGCGCCGCCAGACGACAAGGCGCTGATCGGACCGCCGGTTAAGGCAAATGGAGCTACGCGAGCTGCTGGTATGAAGGTCAATTCCATCTATGCACAGGATCATTGGCAACATAAGGATCCTCGAATCTTCCTCGGCGCTGATCCTAAAGAACAGGATTCACCCTTCCAGGTGAGACTCTTCAGTTTAATTTCCAAATTGTCCATAAACGCGGCCGTGTAGACTGTCGCGTGCGGGGATGTCGTTGATGGTACATTAAACGCGTATCGCGGGCGTCGCACGAAACGGCTTTATTTTACAACGTCGGCTGAAGAAAACGTGTAATAAAAAGTGAACCCGCGATAAGAGCTGTAATTATTTCGCTATAAGTCTCTTGCTTTTCCTTCTTATATTCCGAGCGTGATATACAACTTTCTTCATTGATCTTTACAGGGAGAAAAGCTTCCTCTTTAATTATTTTTAAGGGCGCACACATCCACACGGTTCACATCCTTTCAGGCTTTTATCGCTCGCTTTTTGCGCGCTGATTTCATTAACGAGGGATGCTAACTGCGCGTTGATTTAGAGGACGCATAAACGCCTTGTATACTTGGAAATAGAGCGCTTTTGTTATTTATATCCGCGTTGCTATGTATCGTTTGCGTATTTTCACACATACCTGTATTTGTTTGTATTCCATGTATCGAGTTTTACGGTGAATTTAATAGATTTTACGTTTTACGGTCGTTTAAATTGACGTTATTTTCAACAGTTTGTAAATTTTATTGAGCCGTTATGTAGATAATGAGTGTACGATTGTACGCTTATTACGCTCATTACTATTTTCATTTTCAAGTTTAAACTTTAAATTGTCATTAACATTTTGATTTCAAAATGAAACCAAAATATATTTAATCTTTAAACATGATACATAGACGTATAGCTCCATAAACTTTCTTAATAAAATATTCAACACAAGTTAACATTAAAGAACAATTTTTTTTTTATATAAAACAATTAAAGAATACTATACCGACGTAAATTCAAAAACTTTTACCGGTATATTGAACGAGCTTATCATTCAATTTCTATAAAATTCAAGCAAGAATGATACATTACTCGAGGTAAAAAGTGCACAATGCCAATGCAAGCACTTGATCAAACTATACACTTACATACTACGAGTAAACTTGAACGACTAAACTAAAACCAATAATGTACACACTGAAGTTCAAGTAGTCTTATACCACCTTGTTATACATAATCGATATTTCGCGCGCATCGCATCTGCGTCGTTGATACCCAAATCGACCGCTAGATGGCAGACGCACACGTTGTTCGCAAACTCGCAAGAGAAGTCGATGAGTTGCGGGATGATATATAAGTGGGGAAGCAGCCGAAAGCATACTTACCTGGCGCAGAGGTTACCGTGATCACCAAGGCGGTTCCTCCAGGGCGAGGCTCTTCCATTGCACTACGGTTGAGCTGACCCTTGCGAATATCCCTAATGTGGATATCTCGGGCGTATAATTTTTGTTAGCCGGGACTGCGTTCGCGCTATCCCGAATAAATTAATCCAAAGATAAAGTATTGTTTCTAGTGAAACTTCGTGTAAAAGGGTTGAAAAAGTACACAGGCAAAAGAAAATTCAATTTGATATTCTGTAAGAATTTCGAAAATTTTGTTTATCTAACATGTTTTTATTTTAATAATATTATTTTTTTTCATTTGTCAAAATCAATTATATAACATATATCTACAGAAAAATTTACAAACAATTTATATAGTAAAATTTTCAAATATTTATTTATTCCTGCAGAAATAATTTATGTAGAATAGCTTGGATCAATTATTTTTCAATCGAATTTTCTGTAGAAAATTTACATGTTCAATGGCGTCTCCTTTTCTAATAAAATAACATTCAATTAAATAAACAAAATTGAAAAATTCGTGTAGATTCGGCATCTACGGAACGAAGGTGTCTTTCAATAACAGTACGATTGCCTGAATTTGTCAATAGATATTCGTATTTTTCCTTACATTTTAATCGCCTTAAGATTTTCATCGAGACTATGAATCGTTCAACTGGCATTCATAGAAAAAAAGAATTCATCGCGACAGTGATAGCAAATAAAAAAATGCCATCATATCCGTCTCCTCGATATCCTCCCCAAGCCCAATCATGAAACGTCCATTGCAGCAATAAACGTCATTTCGAATGTCAGTAATCAGAAAAAGAGTGCGCGCGGCTCTGCTTCATTTTCTCGTCATCGCAAAAATTCGATCGCACAAAAGCCGCATCGTTCTCTCGCCGTTGCTCTCATCAATTCTCCACATTGCAAAACCTTTCTGGTGCGCTCTCTTGCATGGATGATGCATGCATATATCTGCTGCTCTCCTCTTCACAATTTTCGTCGTGATTTACGGTGCGCCGAAAAAACGTGCATAAGCGTCGTCGTCCTCCCAGCTCAGAGCAGCGGCGACTCGTGCAATTGATTATTCATAATGCCCGGAATATGTATTTCAAGCGAGTCTCGCTTCTCTCTTCAATGAAGTCTTTATGTACAGGCTCTTCCTGACCCCCACCCTCTCTCTCGCTATCTCTCTCTTTCTCTCTGTTCTTCTTGATTAGCTTGAATTACGAGAGAGCAGAGAGTCAGAGATCGCGTTTATTTTTGCGCATTATCACGGCTTTATGAATAATACATGAGTTAGCTGCCGCTTGTGCCTCTTTCTCTCCTCCCTCGTGAATGCTGTACAGCACCGAGCAAAAGTCCACAAAGAGAGCGTTGCCTAGATTTAAATTACGAATATATTTTCATTCGACTTGTAAAACTCGATGTTCGACGCTACCTACACCCGTGTTCACTTACACTTCCAACCGCGGAGATTATTACGTTACACCAGTTATGTAGACATTGGTATTTTCGGGGTGAAGGGGACGGGATCTTATTGAAATTTTAATAAGAATAGAACAGAACTAGTGAGAAATAGAATAGGATTTTTTAGTGAATGATTATATAAGATTGCTTAAATATTCGAGTCAGGATTATTTTTTTCTTATACGATAGTTTTTCGCTATGTTTAAACGCATCACAAGGCGATCTAGTAATAATACAAAAAAAGTCTCATTTTTTCGCTTTCCTAGTTGTTACTTGATTGTTTATCTGATAAGATCTAACCGATTCACGTAACGATTGGTGCACTACTTTTTCAAATGAGCCAGTTTGCAATGGTATAAATCACTTCGACATGACAGAATATAATGTAATTCCTAATTATGAAAATATTTCACACAGCTAACCTCAAAAGATACGCCATTGCGCAAAAGATATATAAAAAGCGATACTTTTACATATTAACGCGCCAGGTGTTTGTACGCGTTTCGCTTTCGTTAAAATACCTGCGACGGTGACGCGGCGCACCCTGTACAGCGAAAAATCCTGTCCTCGATTTTCTCTTTAAATCTAAATCTTTGGTGAATAAAATTTTTGAATAAAATAAAATAAAATAAAATACAATAATAAAGTAAATAAAATAAAATCTTTGGTATTTTAAATTTTAATCTTTGGTGTCGGAGACTCTCGATTTCATACACGAGGTACATATTTATTTCTCAACTCGCACTTATACATTCGAAAACGACGACGGTGGCGATGACGGCAGACAATTGATTTTAATTGCCGTTGAATTTTCGTATCTCTAATAAAAAAAAATGTTCCATACATAGACGCGAGTTATCGGCATCAGATTGTTAAATCGGAGCGTTAACTATCCCATTATAATAAGAGTCGCGAGCTCGCGCGCCTGCTAGAGCTCTTTTTAAATTCAAACCGCTCGCTTGCGCAAAAAGACATGTGCATTTGATAAAATCACGCATTTTTCGCCACGACGATTTTTTTTTATTATCAATGCTGGCTCGGCGACGTGGGAAAATCGATTGTCGAGAGATATCATATTAATACGCACGCGAAGTGTATGGTATTGTTTTACCGTGGTTATGACGACCCCTTAGGTAAACGATGAAAAAAAAAAAAAGAAGAAGAAAAAGGAAGAAGGAATGTCGGACGTACGTACGCGTGATTTACGTGATGTATGCCTGGTTTCATCGTGAGGGTTGCGCGATTTGTCCCCGCACGTGTATCTCTCTATGCCAACACACATACAACGCGAAAGAAAAGACTCTTAAGGTTTTGAAATGGGAACGAGCACAGGCACGACGACGACACGCTTGCTGCTGCTGCTGTTGTTCGCAATGCTTGCATCCCGTTATTTCATGGCTTTTTTGAGTTTCCGATGGATATCGGCCGCTAGAGCTGAGCTCTCCTCGGGCTACTGTGAAACGTGTCTAAAGAGACATTGTTGACTCGAATGTTTCGTTGTTATCCCGGGACTCGGTTCCGTTGCCATGGTTGGCTCTTCTATGTAGACACTCTCGCAGTTCACGATCTTTTACAAAGATTTTCGTAAATCTTTGGAACATTTTCACGCGAAAAGACAAAACCTTAAATAAATCTGCTGTCTTTTATCTTTTCCTTTTGACTGATGAAGCTTTCAGACGTAATAAAAGCCACTCAACTTCGACTGCGAATATAATTCATCATTAACATGTCCGCCGTGATTGCTTAACTAATCAGAAACCTTTAAATAGCTATATCGATTCTAATCGCCTACCGAACTATTTTATTTTATACCGCGTGTACCGTTTTTATCCTCCTCACGCATGTACGCGGTAACAGCAACGAAAAGTCACATCGAGTAAACGTCATCGCTCGAAAAAAAACTTGCTCGCACGCGGGAGGGGCGGGGGGCACACACGAGTTTCTAAATTTCAACGCAGCCTGTCGTTGCTTGATCGTTTTATTGCGCGCGGAAGACACATCAAAGTGGTCTGATCGAGTGGCTTGCTCGTTTGAAATTTCAGTGCCAAGGCAGGCAGCAGCTGTCGGCATTGCATCTCCTCTCTCTCTTAGGACGCCCATACACCACGAAGGTAATTGATTTGGAGCGTCTTCACGCAGGGGAAGAGGAAGTGTGTACTTTTATTTACTTTCGGATCCGGTTACTCGAGGGCGAGGTTCGCTTCACGGACTTTGGTTTTTTGACTAATTTTCAAATTGATTCGGGTCAAAATAAAGAGAACTAATTTATACGATGTTTTAAGCTTATACATAGGACTGGTCAGATATTAAATTTTAAGCAAGAAATCAAAAAATTATTTAATATTAAAAATAAAATGCAGTTTTTTTAATAGTCATTTTGATTTTATGATATAAGATTATTATTTTTATAAAACGATCTGAATTAATTAACTGATAATCAAGACAATTAAGACCATCGATGAATAAAACATACGATAATTAAATACAAAATTTTAACGAACACGAATTAACAAAACAATCACAAAGAAACTAATCAACATCGCAACGCATGCCAAATTAAAAAATTCGAAAAACCAACAAGGATGCACCCAAAGAAAAAAAGATCACGTTACAACATTCAGGCACTCGAATATATATGGACCATCCAGAAAAAGAAAAAAAAAGAATTCGACAATTTCTCTCCCAACGACAAACGAGGCTCCGCAGTCAGTTGCAGTTAATTATCGCGCGCAAACGCAACACGTATAAACGAGGCGGAGCCCAAAAAAACCGAGAGAGAGAGACAGAGAGTTTAGCGCCGCCCTCGTGTGTGTGTTTTTTTTAACTCCTCACCAACGACCAATTCTTTCTCTGTCTCCCTCTGTCGCTCTATTATTTATGATTTTCGCACGTACAACACGGGGTCTTTATAATAACTAATGGCAAACGGCAGCGGATAATTACAAAACGTCACCTCTACTCCCATCGCGAAAAGGAAGCTCCGCGCCGCACGTAAAGCAAAAAAAAAAAAGCACACTTATACGCAAGCAAGAGAATCCCCTTTAATTGCCTTCCGCGCACCGGGCCACGCGGAAAACAAGGAGGGCGTGTCCCTTTCTCTCTCACTTTTTTTTTGTCGCTTTATGTACATGCACATGTATCGAAGGAAGTTCGGTTCTTGGGCATGCTTGAGCGATGCTTTATGCGTGTGTATATAGCATGGAATTTGGCTTGCGATTGTAGAGTCGATGCAGTGCACACGATTGATGGCGGAGGATGGCTGATTGCACGTGCTGAGAGGCTTTTATATCCGTTAATGCTACGGGGATCGGAATAACCCTGCAAATCATCGAATATCAGCGATCAATATCACAGTTCATGAAATTAAGAAAAAGTCATGTCCATGGTGTTTTTTTAAATCGGAAAAAAAATGTTATGAAAACATTTGTCTAAAAATAAAATATACCGGCGATGCAGATCGCGGATAAAATTGCGAAAAAGAAAAAAAAACGTTAACATGATAGGCATCACGACTTTTTTCGTTTAATTCCTACACGTAAAAGCATCTCTAACAAAGTACATGTACAGAGACGCATGATACATACGTTGAGAACAAACCTTGTAGCCTACTAAATTGCTGTCACCGGCTAGACAATCATATACCCGACCGACGCAAACGGTATAGCATAGCAGTGCAATTACAATTTCACTAGGAGGAAGCTCATTTCTCATGCAAACGAGCAATTGAAAAATCTGAGATGCCGCGAAGCGCCGTAACTTTTCACCTCCAATCATGTTTATTCATCTGCCTCGTCAAAGAGAGAAGAAGAATAAGGAAAAGATCTATCGAACCTGTAAACACCTGCGTAATTGCACGCTAACCACCACCACCACCACCACCACTGTCGTAGGAGTTACGGAAGCAAAGAAAAAAAGCCCGACAGCGAAGCGGAGCCGAGAAATTCCATGACTACGCCGCGACTCAACCGTTGCGCAAAAGGCAAACAAAGGATTTCCGTGCGAACTTTTCCGAACCTTTGTACTGCTGTTAAAAAGATCTACGCACGCACAAATCAATGACGTTCTTTTTTCGCTGCCTAACTCTGTCATGGTTGCGCCCACGGACACACACACGCGCGTGTCGTCAGCTTTTCCCAGCTGCGAGTTTTAAAAGTCGTGAACTTCGTGAGTATTGCAGTTGTATTGCTCAAGGGAAAAATCGTGCAGGTTCCAAAGTTTTCTCGTTACCTCGTGCGCGATACACGCACACACACACACACACACAGAGGAGAGAATATTTCTAATTTAAGTTGTTGGCAAATGATGGATTATCACAAGTATGTTTGAGTAATGGCATTTGTACATGTCATTAAAATAATGACAGGAACGATTGAATATAATAACGTACCGAGTTGATAGAAAAAACAATGTCAAAACCGAAATCTCAACGCGTAATCGCCGTCGAAGCCATCAGATAATTCGGCACTATTGTTGTACGCTTCTTTCAATAAAAATTTTCCCGGTGCATTCAATTACGCGGCTGCCGTGCAAAACAATAAGCAATAAATCGCACGCGAGCGCTGATTACAAGTGCAGCTCGCAGATGAAGCCCCATTAACATGCTTCGAGCGCCATCCTCTTTTCGAGGGCGTGGGTACAGTACCCGCCGCCGGTTGGTTTTGAAAGAAAAATCACAGTGTTATCGTTGCGCGCGTGATCGATAATGCGAAGAAAGAAAGAGAAAAAAAAACGCAAGCGCTCGCGATCGTTGTCAATCTATCCATTCGTATACCTGCGCGCAGGTTGTGTGACGACGACGTTGAGATTGCCTCTCTCACCTATATATAATAGTCACGCGCGCGACTTTGATTTAATTGCGAGTTTCTTTTACGAGCCACCGTGCACCTAGCAGCGATTGGAAAAGTCGAATTTCATTCTTTTGTCCTTTCAAGGACACCGCATTCTTTATTCTGTCGCTCGTGGTATGTCAACTTTCTAGATTCGTTCTTGTCGATAGTCCTGATTTTTTTTTTTTTTTTTTTTTTTATAACACTCTACAAGTCAGTCGTCTAAGCGATACTTCTCGGCGTAATATTGAGCCGCGGCGCGGGCATCGAAAAGGAAAATCTAATTGGCTTCACACTCCGACGCTACTGAGGCGGGCGTCGCACTGTCAATGCCCTCAGTTATATTTTCAGCGCGCAGTTGTAATTGCTACTTTAGCCGCGCGCTCCAAGTAAGTGGGTCAAGCACGTCGCCTGCAAGTGTATTAATATTAATTAAGCTCGCTTGCACAGCTCTGGGAAAATTGAAATAGACGTCTGATCGGGGCATTAACGAATTGGAAGCTGGTGGGCCGACAAGTGTACTGCTGATTTTCAATTGGTAGGTGAATGCTTCACCGTTTCCAGAGTCCCGTGCTGATGCCGATGAAAGTCGTATTCGCATTGTCGTCGTCGTCGTCGTCGTCGTCGTCGTGTGGCCCGACGGCCGAGCAATTAATTTACACGGGAAAACAAATCACCACACGAATTCTAGAGTCGGCCTCTAGACAATTATCGGTGAGTGGCTGAGGGTCGCTGCAGCACGTATATAAACAAAGCGTCTATTTCGGTACATCCGCCAGAGCAAACAAAAGCCGGCGCGCGCTCGACGTGCCCGGTCGCGACTCGTCTATTCATAGCCCACCTTTGTTTTTACAATTTTCACATCTAATTTTATTCGCTGATGATTATGGAAGGAAAGGAAAGGCTCTCTTTTATTTTATCGTAACGCCGTAGTGGTACAGCTTTAGGAAATGACTTCTTACGAGAATGCTTTGCTCCACTTACTGCCGAGGTAGATATTTATTCAAGTATTTATGTCTTCTGTAGAGTGAACGCCGTTTCTTGGAAGTTATTTACACTATGAGAGATCGCGATGGGTCTATGTATACTTTACACTTTAGTGAAGAATGGGCTATTTTTCGAGCTGCAGTAAGTCTTACTGTTTTACTACCACAGCCGATGTTAGACAATTAAATTTGTCTTTTCCAGTTTTCCGACAACAGAAAATTACTATCTCCCGAGCGATCTTCCAATTCGCTCATTCAAACTACAAAGAAATTTTACACTTCCGTTGCAACTCTTAATTGGCGATATTTTCAATCGATGACATAATAAGCATTCACGCGAAAGTTGTTTGCCAAGAATAAGAGAATAATTCAAGCAGAAGTTCAATTAGCAATCGCAGGCGATACGCTTAAAATCATCGCGAATAAAAAAGCCACTCGACCGAATATCGGAAAAATTCAACAACTTCTTATCCGAAGATCGATGTTTCTGCACAGTGAATGACGAATCGAACGAAAAATCTTGTGCTTTCAGAGAGGATATTCAGCGGTGTCGGCGACATCGCCGAGTTCGGAAAACCGGGCGAATCTACGTCGCAGCGTGCGCGACGATCCAGCACCACATCCAGCTCGACTACGCAAACATCGTCACGGCTGGACATTGTACTTTGGCCGACCGCTCAGCGGTAAAAGTTGCACCAAGTCACTTGTCCTCCTGCTCATCGTTGTGCTTGCGTTACTCGGCATCGGTGGCATTGCACTCTACATTGTCTTCGGTGAGTTGTACTTGACAAATAATAATAATAATAATAACAAACAGATCGGAGTACGCCAACTCTTCGTTAATCTCAAAATTTCAATTAATTTATCAGTACAAAGGAGGCGTGCAGAAAGGCAGCACCTTTCTTCTCAGAGAGATATTTTGACGCTGACTTGCAGCGCAAACGAGATTCGCGACGTAATCCTATTACGAAAAAGTCAAGATGCGACCGGATTACACCTCGCGAGAAAAGCGGGATATGATATCGCGTCGCATACGTAATTTTATTTATTCGCGCGCGCCTCCTCAACGTCGCAATCTTAGCCAATTTCTCGCGTTCGTATCGGCGAGGATTAGCGAATTTCTTTTATAATTAAAAGCGCGAAGATGATCCGAATAAAATTTTGATACGCATAATACTTGGAAAACGAGAAACTCGAGTATAAAAATGAAAATGTCAGCTGTTAAGGTAGGATATTACGTAGCACGCGCGCAAGCGGTATATAATTCGTTTCTCCTCTTCTCTCTCTCGCACCGATTACTTTACGACGCGTGCAAAAGGAGGCATCTCGCGCTCGAACAGGTGAAGATTTCATCTCTCCGCGGCGCAATGTGCAGCATTGAGATCTTTTTACGCCGGCTCGGAACTTTAGAACGGGCTGCTTGCAAACGACGTCGTTTTTGTTCTAATGGTGTATTTCTCTTCTTTTACGAAATCAACCGTTGTAAAATTATTTTCTTTCATTTTTTCGCATTAATAAGATCATGAAAATCACACTAGGTTTCCCATTAATTTCGATTATTTTTTTAAATTTTCAAATATTTACGATGTCCATAAAACTTTTACAGAAGGTTATACTTCGCATACAAGACATGTATTTATTTTTCACTTTGAACACCAATTGAAAAATTTAAAGACTTTTCAAAGATTTTTTAATTTTAATAAAATTTTAATTATGAAGAGTTAGACTTATGATTCTGCAGACAATGTAACGAAATTTCGCTAAAAGATTTGGAATTCTATATTTCCACGTTTCGTTTTTCGTTTCCGTTATTAAAATTGTTTAATAATTCACATAGCAAGGCAACTTGAAGCTCGTTATTCATTCTGAAAATAAAGACACACGATCTGCTGCGTGCGGCAAAGCTGCTCGATCAACTCAAAAAGAGGAAGAAAAAAAGGAGAAAGCGAAGTCAGAAAGAAAAGAGAGACACGTGCTCGGCGTCATCGGCGCAAGAGTAGAGTCTCGCTCTCGGGATTACGGAGCGAATAATGTTCCCATGCCCCTGAATGTCGGAATTTACAAGTCAAGTGCACACACGCTTGCGTTTACTGCTGCTCTCTCGCGGCCGCATACATGCATACATGTATGTGTATATATATCTTTTTTATACCCGGCAGCTGCTACTGCATATAACAGACACTCATACACACGCGCACACATAAACCAAGCTTCACCATATTTAGGAGTTTTAATAAATGACGAATATATTTTGAAATCTCTATATAATGATTTTACGCAACGAGATCGTTTACATTGGTAATGACGCTTATATTCATGTACGGGCTGGGAAGGTTTTTGGTTATAGCTGACTTTTGAATGTAGTTTTTATGAGGGGCGTTTGAATTGTAAAGCAGCGATTTGCTGCTAACTGCGCCACGGAATTAGGCATTTATACGAGGTGAAAGGGCGCATTTGCAATCATTCAAATTATTGTCGTTGAGAAAGTTTCAGTAAATCACGGTCCAAGACTTTTATTCGAAAGAGTAAACAGCAAAAAATATTTAATCAAACGATGCCTACAAGAAAAAATCGACCGAATCGAAAAGCTTGAAATCCAACAAATATATACGCGAGGTGGTTACCAGGCTTTGGCTCGCAATAAAATCCACAATCATGCAAGAATCCTCTCCACCTCACACTGCGAAATTATTTACCTTCTTTCCGCCGGCAACGATATAAAAACAGCAGACCCGGGGCCGATCTCATCGGGGCGTGAAGTCAGAAGACAAAAAAAAAAATCTGGCTTTCACGATCGATGTGGCGGCGTTCGGCAAACAAAACCTAACGGAGGATGTGCTCATTTTCACGCCCTTACGTTCTCTTCTCTCTGCCTCACACTTGCCGCAACGCGAAACGGAACGGACGCTTTAATTGAATCGCGTCGACGGTGGCGCGCGGACAAAGCAAAAAAAGCCGACTTTTTTTGTATGTATGTGAGCTGGTGTTTGTTTGGAATGTTTTCGTTGAAGGGGTATTTCTTTTTTGATGAGAATCCATTGGTGAGCTTCCTTTTTCTTCTGTTAGCCCTGTTGTTTTATCAATTAACTCGTCAGATTAAACACAACATATGCACGATCGCGAAGAGAAGTTTGGATGAACAACGATCATATCTGAGATAAACGTAGGCTTGACGCCAATTGTGTTGAAATTGCGTTTTGAAAATTATCTTCACAATTTTGTCCGTCCTCATACTTGTATGAATCAAATTTTTGAACGATCGATCAAATAATATGCAACACCCAAGCCGATATGTAAACTACAACTCAGACGCAATCAAGCTGACAAGATATTCCATCATATATTCCGTGCCCATTTCAATTAGAGTCAACCAATTTTTCCCTCAAAACAATAACAACAACAAAACGACTCGCAATAGGATTCATTTCAATTTGCATGCGTACACGGTGGCAGAGAGATAGGCGATAAGAAAAAAAATTTCAATTAATTTTACTGTAAATTGCAGCGTGGAGTGACAGGAGTTAACGATACCCCGATTTATCGGCGAACCGGTTACTGTTATGCTCTTTCACTCTCACACTCCCGATATCGCCTTAATTTTTTCACGCCCGAGAAACGCGAACCTACGGCATTATGAGAGATGACGCGTGTCTTGGGATTTTGAAGTCGATCGCATAAGCTTCACAAAATCAAACGTGTTCATTTTTCTGACGGGATAAAAAGAACTATTTAATCTTCCAGAACCCGAAAAACTGCACGTGATCCAGCAATATCTGCGTTCGTCCGCGAGAAATTCCACGCTTGGCAAGAACAACAGTAATTTGGCAGCACCGGGCGACAGTTTGCAAGATCTCGAGGAGCCGGTCTTCTCGACAAGTCTGCCGCCGTCGTCATTTCTGGATGCTCTACTCAACGCGACAGTTTCATCCATCAACAGTAATAACGTTCCTGGTGGTGATAGCAATGACCTCGACGAGCCTGTTTTCATCAGTGCTTGGCCAAGGCCATCTACTACTAGTACTACGATTAGTACGTCGATTACCACGATTAATATTTCCAAGTGAGTAATTCGAGATTCAAACGTTCATACATTTTTTACATACTAAAATTATTTAAGATATTTTTTGTAAGAATGCAACAAATTTAGGAAAAATTGTTGCACTGTCAAGTAAATTTTGCACTATTTTACATTCGTAAACATTGATATTCATTATTTAAGAAATATTGTAAATTAAAATTGTTTATTCTTAAATATGTATAACTATTTATTTGAAACAAGATTCTGTTAGGTTTTTCAATGTTTAAAAAAATTACGTTCTTTTTTTATAAATTTTTTGTGGTTTTGTACTCGGAAAGTGAAAAAAAAAATGTGTTCTTTTTTTTCAGTTCGTCCGTGTTGTCAGCGACGACAAGAACGACAACGACGGCAATGTCAACGACAACGCCGCGAAGTGCAACATCGAAATTTTTGGAGGCAACAAGGCGGAGGCCGTGCAACGAGTGTCGAGGCGAGGAAGTCTGCGTGGCGAGGAACGCGGACGAGACGCCTTTCTGCAGGGCGCCACTCAATCCGCACGACTCGCATGGTTGCGGCGGGCTCTGCGACCACAATAACCAGAAGTGCCATAAACTTGATGCTCCCGGCGCATTCAGGTATAATAAGTTTGATAAAAAAAGTTTGTTTCTTTTTTCGGCAACTTAACACCCCTCATTCGAAATGTGCAACACGTAGGCACGCAAGCGCGCATGTATAAACTTTGGTTTAGTGTTCTATTGAGGAGCGACAAAAGCGCAAAGGCGTAATCTGTCATTTGTATGCCTCGCAAAAAGGAGCTCCACCAACCCGATGAATAATGGAGTTTATCAAAATGCTAATTTCTGGCGAAGAAGAGCGTGATGAAAAAAGCCGAACGTCGGCAATCGATTGTCATTCGCGTAACATAAGGGACAATGAACCTGATACATATGTGTAATTAGTTTTTTGGTTGCGCGCGCGCGGTAATTTTTATTGCTGAAATTTTCATGAGGGGTTCGTTAATTGCGTTTTGTGTGTTTTCGTTTGACGAACTAGCGTTGATTAAAAAAAAATATATATCGTTCGTTAAGCAACAAGTGTTCCTCTTCTTTTTTCTTACGGGCAATGAATATAAATGCACTTCATCGAATTTACAAGTCGGATACTATCTATACAGATATCGTGTGAAGATTGCGCGTAAAGATTGTGATAATAACTAACATTTCAATTTGAAATTTAAAAATAATAAAGATGTACGGAAATGGAGCACCACTGCCTTGACGGCGAGTGGACGTGCCACAACATATTCTGCATCCCACTGGTGAAGCGTTGCGACGGGCAAATGAATTGTTACGACCACTCGGATGAGTATAATTGCGGTAAGTTGAGATCCTTTTCGCAGCATATCTCTACGTACTCATCTTTCTCTTATGCGAGCTTCATTATTTGCAATAATAATAAACCAAAAAATACTTGGCTTAATTGAATTTTTTGATTAATCACGTTGCATTACGAAAGACAAGTTGCGTTTCTCTTATATACAACATCGACGGAATATAGTGAAACATTAACGAATGACAGTTCTAGATTGTACATACACTTGACACTAACCCTAATCGTCTTCGCGCGTGTACGTATACGGTTATTTATTGTCTCTGCTTTACCCTGTGTTCACTTAAATTTTTTACAAAGTCGACTTGAATGATGGTGGCTCCGCTTTTCTGCCCCTATGTAATTAGATATTGTAAAAGCAAATGATTCTCGTGTTTTTAACTTGTTACCGCGACTCGCTTTTATCCGTCATTTTCACGTAATAAATTGCTCGGTGATTTTCTTCTTATTCCCAGAATGTAATTTAGAAACGCATTTCCACTGCGGGAACGAAACCTCGTGCCTTCCTCTGTCGAAAAAGTGCGATGGTCACGTGGACTGCTTCGATGCTACCGATGAAGAGAATTGCACGACAAGTAAGTTATTGCATAGTTTTTTCTTTCCTTTTATTGTGATAAGTTGATTGGCGTCTAAAACGAAGATTGAGTATTCACATTTTTGAAATGTTATGTAGCAAAATTACACGCAAAGTGTTTACAGTTTCATATGTGTGAGACAAGAGAAAATTTTTTGTTCAAATTTTGCTACAGAGTGTTTTAAAAATGTCCAACAAATTAGTCGAAAACTTTATAGAAAGAAAAAAACTGTTCGTACTCACTCAAAAAGATAATATTGAATTATAATTTTTGGAGTATAACTTTATCTTCATTTATGACCTGTATTTAAAAAAAAATAAAATCGCCAATTATTGCGTTTTTATTATCGTCATTTTCTTTTCTTTCTTTATAGGTCATGATCTCGGTAGGCGTGAGTACCCTTAAGAAAAAACACGAACGTTTTTTTTGCTCTTCTTATTTTTTTCTTTACTGCTGGACAATATATTGTTTTGTTTTTTCTTTCCGAGTTTTTATTTTTTTATTTTTGCAAACCTTGTTTTTTGCGCACATATGTATCCAACTAAAAATTAATATTCATTAAGCTTATGCACACTTATGAGAGTGTAAACACACCATTTGTAATCATAACTATGCAATTTATTTTCCCCCGCATTTGTAATGAGAAAGTCGCTTTCATATTGATTCACGAGTTATATCGTATATATAAATGATACGAAGGGACACAAGCACACTGCACATGCGTTTTTGATGTGTTCAAATATTTAATTTTAATGGCTCTTTTTGTTATTGAGCTATGTCTGAAAAAACGTTGTGACACGAAAGAAATTTTACCATTATTGAAAGCACCAAACACACGCTAATCTTACGTTACAAATGTGGATTAACCATTTTTTTTTCTCGGTCACTGTAATGTATATTATTGGAGTATTTTTTAGCTTGGCATTGGTGGCTTATTAATCCATCGAAAGATATCGGCAATCGACAGTAATGTCCTTTTTTTTATTTTATCGAACCGCTTAGATATCTGTCGAATCGTCAAAGCTGCACAACAATTGTTAACCCACCTTTCCATTCTGAAACTAACCCCTTTACGTCATAACATATCCATTTCAAAGAGCAAAACTTAGGAAGCAATCCTATTTCTTTTGTGCAGTATGCCCATCAAAGGACGAATTTACGTGCCGGAGTAAGCAGCAGTGCATAAAGCGTTCGCGCTTCTGCGACGGCTACCGTGACTGCAAGGATGGTTCGGACGAGCCCCACGGCTGTCAGGGTCGTTGTAACAAACACGAGTTCGCTTGCCAGTGAGTATTAATTGCCACATAGGTATACCGAATGAATTATTACGAGCGAGCGCGAAGAGCTCTAATGAGGCTCCGTATAGCTTTTTGTTTTTTTGGCTTCTGTATTATGACGAGGTAGGAGACATTAATCATTTCCCGTGCGTATTACCAACCTCGCGCGGTGCTGTTTGTTCTGGTATAGATAAATATATTGCACGTTTGTTATGTTGCGAGCTTGATGAGGCTGAGAACGAGGTTCGTACACCGTTCTTTTTCCCTTCGTTCGGAAAAATAAAAGTAAAAATATGCCTGCACTGAGCAGACTCGTTTTCTAGCCGACGACACGTGTGCAACAATAACTCGTTGAGAGCTACTTCTCGACGTTTAAATGTCTTGGTTATACAACAGTTATCATATCCACTTATTCATCCCCGCGCGTCGACAACGCGATGAGTTGAATAAATAACCAAACGAAATATATTTAATTAGAGCTAGAGAAAATCCCTCTTCTCTCTCTCTCTCTCTCTCTCTCGCCCTCATGGTGTGCAGGCGAGAGTTAAATTGCGTAATTTACGAACTGTCGCCCGCGGTGTCGGCGCGCCCGTAAATTCTCCATACGCGATGCCAACGCAACGACGAAGGCGCGTATTTATACGTATTATTTACAAGTGTAATTATGCAAATGAGGCGCGAGCGCGCCATGGATGTAACGCGAAAGACATCCCTTCCTTTTCCACCTTCAATAGTTTCTTTTCAGGCGTTCGCTTAATTGTTATGGCCGTTGAAAGCTTCAAGCTTTTTGTGCCTGAGTGTGATCTATTAATTTGGCATTGTGCTGCTTCTTACGCGGGTATTTCAATGAGTTTGCTGTATATGGGTGACAAGCTGAGCTTGTTCTTTCTTTTTTACACATTGTTGAGCGCCTGATGCGCGTGAATCGGAAGATTCAAAAGAACGAGTTTATTTATTTATTTTTTTTTTATGCAAATGCTTGCTTGAAACTCTACAGCTGAAGACGAGTAAAGTTGCAAATATTTTTGGCTTAGATTTTTCTCGGGAATTTTTTACAGTATGTATGAAAAGCATAATACATATGCGACATTCGTTAGCCATTTCCATCCAGAATTCACATCACATACGTTGCATAATTGTCCTCGGCCAAGTATAATCACGATAACGCGCGGTCAATTTGAATTTAATACTTTGATGCCACCCTTGGATAAAAAACAAACACAGCTCGCCCGACGACAGGAAAGATCGCAAGCTTCGAAACTATATAGATCATCTACCTCGGTATAAATAGATATTAGAGCTTCTTTTCAATTCATTATTCAGTGAAAACTGACAACCACGCAAGAGCCTATAGTAGTATACTTCCGATCGTTGCTCTAGTATTAATTCGCGTGGCACAACCGGTGATCTTGGCATTTGCATAATTGGCCTCTGGATTTTCTTATCTCACACACGCGCGCGCTCGCGCATACTACCGCCTTATCGAAATATCTTTCGTATGCTGCTATTAAGCTAGAGAAAAATAGATGTATACGTATACGCGCTCGACTTTATTTATTGCTCTGCTCTGGCGTAACACGTTACCCAAACACCCACGCGCGCGATCTATCGAGAGGCGCATTACTTAATGAAGGTGTCAGCGTGCAACTGTGGGCTTTTTGCTGCCTGTACTTTTCTTTGCAATTGCGTGTTACCAATTTCGTACAGTATGAAGTATGAGTATATGTTTAATGATTGACAATTATTTTATTGGTACTGCTAGTCTTATATAGAAGCTGTTTTTTTTTTCGCGAAAATATTCCTACGGTAATATCGTCGCATATCATTAAAATTTTCTCAAATTTTTATACGAATCACTATATATATATATATATATATATATATATATATATATATATATATATATATAATTGAATCAGATTGGCTTATCTATCATATTACTGATGTAACAGACTTATGATCAGTAAATAGCGCCATAAATTCAATTGATTTTTTTTCTCTAAAGGTTTTTTGTATAGTGATCGTAAAATTCAGAATATTATTAGTACACGATATTTTATAGCTAATAAATCTGATGTAAGATTTGAACACTTAATAAAAAAAGTTTAATTAATTATTGCGAGAACGATTCCACGTTGCGGATACAACATTGTCACAATATCATGATGTTCTATAAGCAATTTGTTAAGCAGTTGTGATAAAGTAAAAAATTCATTCGTTTCAGCAACGGCAGGTGTATCAACAAATTGGACAAGTGCAATGGAATCGACGACTGCGGCGATGGCAGCGACGAACAGCACTGCCGCGAAAGACTGTAAATTATAAAACTAAAGAAGTGAATTGTGTTGTTTCCTGTGATGCAAGGCATCGGCGTTTTATGCGAACGCTAATTAATATTATTCTTTTCTATTGAACTTGTTACAATTGTGTATTATATTGTCAATGAGCGAAAAACTTTGTACTATACAGAATGCGAGGGCCGTAAAGTCGTGAAAAAACGCGGCGTTTTTGCAGTATTTTTTTGTGGAGTGAGCGTGGTCAAGAATGAAAATCACGATTAATAAATGCGTTTATGTAATATCTCAGAATTTTGTATAGGTAAAAATAGATGAATTCTATGTTATATAATTATTATTATTATTATTTTATGCATTAAATAAAAAGAAAACAAGTGAACCCTTTATGGATAAAGAAATGAGGCAAATAACAAAGCGAGTGTGATTTTTTTTCTTTCTAAACATTGTATTTGTTTAATAATGAACTTGTTTATTCTCATACACATACATTACGAATTATACGTGATTCAATTGTCTCTTACAATGAGACTTTTTGTATATAGCAAATAACATGTACATATAGCTTGTAGTAGAAAAGAAAAACTGAAAAAATATATACCTGATGAAATACATCATTATTTTATTTTACGTTATTTTCAAAAGAAAGAAAAGAACGTCGAACAGCTTCAACTACCTCGACTACATTTATTATTTACATTTTGCAACGCTACGTTTTTCTAGATACGATATAAATGTACATGCACAAGTGCTACGTACGTGATTTAAAAATGTTTTGACAGATTTTTCATAACAAGGCTGGGATAACTTTTCTCAATACCTTTTATAAAACTTAAATTATAATGTTTTTTCCTTTAAAAAAATTCAATTCTCCCAATGTCAAGTTCATTAATACAAAGAAATTATTTAACAATGTCTTTACATATTTCGTTTTTAAAAACATAAAATATTCGTTATCATATCCAGTTCTGTGTGAATTGACACTTTGATCAGCAAGAATATATTTTTATTCCATTCGTCGTCATTTACAAAAACTCATCAGGTTCCCTGGGAGCGTCGAGGTCACGGTAATGAATGATGGGTCTGAACTCGGAGCTTCCACTGTAAATTTTGTATTGAAAATATTAAATAACATGATCATTAGTTTGTTAAAAAAAATAAACATTCATACTACTAGACCAACTGTATATGTAAAAAAGAGTAATGGATTAGGGATTATATTCAAATAAATATAACAGAAAAACTTTCGACAAAATAAATTTATTTCTTAACTTAATAACTGAATGATACTCTATTTACAATTTCTGCTGTTCTTTATAAAAATAAATCTAATGCAATTCTTATCGAGTAAAGAAAAATTGTCTAAAAATCATTTTACAACATATTGTGGCATTTTTACAAAAGCTTAAAAATTTATTTTTTTGTAGATCTAGATTCTACTTATTAAAACATTATTTTGAATGTAAAGAGTGTTGATTTTGTAACACTGTGATGTTGCATTATTAATACATACAGCAATACTTTTTTATCTAAGCGAACTTCGCGTATTATGTAATCTAGATTTATTAATCTGCTGGCACCGATAAATATTCTCAACCGTCAAATATTTATTTTAAAACAAATCAATATCCAGCTGGTCCAGGTCATTATAACTAATTATTGGTCTCGACGTCGAATCCGGAGCAGCCCTGGAAATATATTAGTAATTTTTCTCGATCACTATCTCTAATTATAGGACAAATTGCGAAAAGAAAATATCTGAACTATTTGATTTTATAAAGACTAGAGCTCCTCTGAATATTACGTCAGAAACTTTTGAGGTATATTTTCATAAAGAATAAAATTATTTCGTGATAAATTTATCGTCATCGACGTGCCTATTTCTCAGAACTTTGTCAACATGGAACAAGTGTGAAAACATTTTTATATTCTAATATCGATTCCATTATATTAATATCATGCAAACAAACAAAATGAATAAAATTATTCTCACCGTCCTCTGTTAAATCCTCCTCGATTTGGTCTTGGAACTCCAAAGCCTCCAGTGAATCCACTATAAGAACCTCCAAAACCACCGCGGTTACTGAAATTAGCGCCATAATTGCCTCCAAATCTACCAGGAGGTCGAGGGCTTGAATAGAGATACAAACACTATATTGTTTTTGGATTGTCAAAGACCGAAGTAGTTATTTGATCGTGGACACATTATAATTTAGGCTACTAAAAGCTGTTGCTACCACAATTACAATTATGTAATCGATACATTTTTAGAATTTCTTATACTTCAATGTATTTTTGATCGATTTAATTTAATGACTGAAATGAATTCTGTCTTCTTCATTCCGTAAATGAATGCTGATTAGCCCTCTAAATTATGTCACTATTTTAATAAACTTTTGTACGTATTTAAAAAAAAATTTCACTAGAGTTTATTAAAATAGCAAAAAGTTAAGCATTGTTACATTAAATATGAGTATTAGATAAAGCAATATGTACCAAATAAAAAATACATCATTTTAATACATTCAAGCTAAACAGTATTGCAATACATTTTTATACAAAAATATTCAACGATTTGAAAATATTATAGTTTATAAATATAATTATTAATTGTTTATTCAACGTAACCATATAAATCAACATTGAGTTAAAATAATTTATTCATAAATTTAGTGATTTTTAAGACAATTATTATTATAATTATAAACTATTTCGGTCTCCGGCGACAAGGAATATATTAATTACAATTTTGTAATTTAATATATATGTTTATTAAATGTAAGTGATGAAAGTTCAATTTTTTTTCAAATGAATGAGTGTCTGAAAGCATTTTCAAAATAAATTAATTAATTAAAAATTTTGCAAAATCTTTTGGCAACAATGATTTTATTTGTCAGAAAATATTGAATTTTTATTTATAATAGTACGTAGAAAAACACAAGTATAACTATATTTTTTAAGTTAATTTGTAAAAAGAATTAAATTAAATTAAACAATACAACTACGAGCACTATTTCAACAATCTAAATAATTCTTGTTCGTTAGGAAATTAAATAAAATTTGAAAAATATAAAAATATGTATCCACTATCGCTACCAACAAAAAAAGTTTTACGTGCAGTTCAACTCACCCTCCAGAATTATACGGCGTGTAACCCTCTCTTGAAGTAGTATTTGCTGGTGCTTTGTTACCAGGATGTTCAGGAAGTTGTGGTCTCTTAGGGTCCTTCAAGTAGTTGTTGAAATACTCTGCCTCAGCTTTCACTTCGGCTACTTTCTCTGCGTGCTTGTTGAAAATATGTTTGCGGATGAAATCTGGTCCTTTAAACTTTTTACCACTCAGAGGACATAACCATTTATCTTTTGAAATTTCTTGTGAATTTGCCTGCACAAACTTTTCGACCTCACTGTGAAGTTGAAATAAAAATTAATCAATAAACTTACAAGATACTGAAAAACGGATAGTGGTGCAACTATGCAGCAATTGTACACTAATTACAATATACGATATCATACTATGCAAATACTTCTTAATAATCAAAGATCCTTACGTTTCTGGATTCTTACAGCCCAATTTCTCATAGTCCGATGGATTAACTGTAGCCACGGGAGCGAGAAACGCAGTCATTTTGCTCTCAAAGCTTTTACAGTACTCCTGGATTTCATTGCTAGAAACTTTTTGAGCAGGTGGTGCACCTCTGACGTGCATGATTCCACACCGATTGGGCATCTCGTCTTCGTTAGGATACTCACAGTGATTGTAGTAATCAACTGAGTGCACTATTCTAAGATACAGAATTAACTTGTCGAGGACTCTCAATAAAGCTGGATCTCGCTCAATTTTCTCTTCACCTTCCCCAGGTAATTGACCTTCTTCGTGGTCACCTGATGTACCAAGCAGTTCCTCTTCCTCCGCGGAAGCTTCTTCGATCAAATAGTCTGTTATGTTTTCTAAGACTGGATTTTTCGACGATAATCCAAATGCCTATAAAATTAGTGGGATGAACGAGAAAATTTATAATTAATAATTGTATTTTTTTAATAGCGACTGGACTCACTGCTTGTTCCATTTCACTGGCAGACTGTTCCTTCTTACAGTCGTCTGTCTTCAAGCTGTCCTTCTTGTCATCTACCCACAAATTTAAGCGTTGATCAAGGTTATGTACAATCTTTGCACTCAACTTTATATCATTCCTTACGACTTGCTTATGACAAGTCACACCATTTACTACGCGGATACGTCGTGAAAGATCGCGATTCACGATTGCTCCTAATTCACAATCTCTTAACTGTAAAATGTGTAAAATACACAAATTGTAATTCAATTTTTAAGCAAAATTTTAAAGACAAAGTAAAAGTTAAACGTACTCTAATATTGTTTAGACTCCAACATATTTCTTTAATATTAACTTGGCGTTCAAACGATACCCAACCTCTACGGAACCACCTTCTTTCTGGCTGAGGATCAGCGATGGCAACTCGCAAAAATCCAGGAAATCTCTTGCACATCTACAATTTAATTTTTATATGAAATTCATGATATTATTAGAGCATTGATTTAATTTAATCAATCATAAAAAATTAATTACAGCTTCAACTTCAGCTTTCGTTATTGTAGGTGCCAAGTTCCTAAGAAAAATACTACTAGTCCTGTGAAGTGCGCGAGGTTCCTTTTCTTTGTCTTCACTGGCTAAGTCAATTACAGTTTCAAGCTTCTTTTTAACTGGTTTTTCAGGTTCCGGCGTCTTTTCCGTGGATGCATCATTGTCTTTGATCTCGCTGTCTTTTTCACCGCACTCTTCATTATCATCTTTTGATACATCTTTATCTACTACTCCAGCTGAAAAAAATTGTTGAAGTGGCAAAAATTACTTTATACAAAACGAAAAGTTTAGTTAGATATCTTACGAGGTGTTCCGGGTGGCGTGCCAGCTTTATTGCTATCATTACTATCGGAAGAACTGCTGCTACTACTCGAGCTACTACTGCTGTTACTATCAGATCTTTTACGTTTCTTGATAGCAACTTCTCCCTCTTTCTTCTCTGCGGTTTCTTCTTCGTCTTCCTCAATTTTCTTTTCTTCGGTTTCATTTTCAACTGGTTTAGCCATTTCTTCCTCCATCTTTCCCTCGGATTCTTCATTTTTTTTCTCTTCTTTCTCTTCTAGATTTTCCATCTCCACATCGCCATTTTGCTGTTCTTTCTTTTCTTCAAGTTTTTCTTCGTTTGTTTTTTCTTCTTTATCGGGCTTTTCGATCTTTACCTTTACTGTAAGTGGACATATTTCTGTTTAATAAATATAAAATAAGAAAATTTTTAAAAGGTTTATTCTACTTAGGCATTCACAAATTACAGACCAACATCTTTAGATTCATCCTCTTTCTTGACAATCACTTCCTTGGCAGGAGTTTCTTTGACAGGAGGTGGTGGAGGCTTAATATCCAAAATTCTTAGATCATCTGCTGTGCCACCTTCTAGTTTGATTACAACCATGTCGAGAAGACGAAGTAGCGGATCAGACTGATCGGCGTCTACTGATACCATATCAGTTTCTTTTTTCTCCAATAATTCCATAAACACTTCCACACGTTTCTATAATGAAATATTTTGTACAAGAGTAAGTTATTTATAAAAAATATGTTGTAAAGATAGTCTATTAATTAAGTCAAAATTTCTAATTTTAATATTAAGTGGAATTCAAACATAACATGTTTCGTAATGAAAATAAAAAACGGTTCTTCGTTTATAAAAAATATTGAAAATAAACTAGGGATTTTTTCGTTATCATCTCAAGATATGAAACTTACCTTTAAAGCAGCAAATTGTTCATCTTTTCTTTTTACTGATTCCTCTGGATGATACTTGATCTTGAACCTGATAGTTATAAAACATTACCAAATTAGTTTTGTATATGTATAAAAAATAGTTTTAATTTTGAAACATTGTTTAATTTTGAGAATGAATTATAAAATTTGAAATTTTTCAAAGTGATTGCAGTGTCCAATTGACATTTTTAACATGCTACGTTTATGTAATAATGCCATGTGTCAGTCGACTGTATAGATATTTCATTGGCTTTCAAATTAATGAATATATTTTCTTTAATTATTTAAAACTTTATCAGTACTATATACTGTCTTCAATATTACATAGCAATGAAACTATATTAAATTCAATAAAACAATCAAAAGAATATTAACTGAAAGTATTACAATATGAAATAATAATTTCTCATGTCAAAGAAATGATAAAGGCATAGCCAAGTAAGCATAATTGATAAATCAAAATTATTTCAACAATGCTATTATCCTTTGACTATAGTAAAAATCACAATAATATACCCTATAAATTTAATTTAGTAATTCAGTTGAACAATAATTATTAAGATACTACTGCATATAAATATACATTGTCGATCAACATGATCCTTTGCGTAATGAAACCTCACCTGTAGCACCTTGTACACTTGTCATCGTTCAATGGCTTTTACCATTTAATAATGCAATAATTTATCGCAATATATCAAGCAAAAAATGCGCGAGTTGAAAAAGTTCGGTCCTACATATCAGCGGGTTAAGATCGCGGCCTAACACCCGAGCATTGTCTGGGCTTTGCGCGCCCAGAATGCTTAATATTGCATTTTGCTTGTTTTTTTGTATGAAGAAAATTCAGACGTTTAGCTAAAATTACGTTAAAGTTCGAGTGTTTATTTCTCTTCGATTCGACGTCGCGTCATCGCTCGAGTACAAGTTTATTATTAATTCGACGAGCCATGCCAGTTTGCTGTAGGGATAGATAAATATTTGTTCACAATTTTTGTTATAAGTGACTATCTGTAGACAAATATTCGTGGGGAAAATCGTTCCTTGATGTATGATTTCTGTTTTTGATATTCATTTTTTTGTTCATTTTTTTAACATCAAAACCTGAGTGATGTTTTTTCCTCTGTGTTTATTAATATATAAGAAATACGCATTTAGTTTAATGAATTGGCTACAGTATATTTGTTAATAATGGGTTATTGAATCAATTGTAAAACCTGGATATTTTAATCCATTTTTTTTCAATTTAATAAGCAATGGCAAATAGTTTTATACGAATTAAGTAAAAAAGTTACTTTATCAAGTAGTTTCTGTAAAGCATTTATCTTTTTTAAAAAATATTCTAAATTATAGCCAAGACATTGATAAGCCAAAAGGAAAGAAAAGGATTAAATTAACAGACACTGAGGAAGATTTGGATACATATGTAAAATTCATGCATTCTTTGAAAAATGAAAGAAGGAAAAAATGTATGCATGAAATGAGAACATAATGGTAATGAAGTAATTGTTTAAATAAAAAACTTACCATTCTTCATCCTTATGTGCAATAAAGAATTCATTAAGTTGCTGCCTCCTGAATTCCAATTTATACTCATTGTACCGCTTGATAGCTTCCTCATCAGTGATTGAATCTTCTTGGGTGACTAGGAAAGCTTTGAAAGTCATCATTGGAGGCTGGGTTTCGACATTGGAATTGCTGAAGTTACCAGCAACTTCTCGGCTGTCGAATAAAAATAATATATGGTAAAACATTAAATAAACTGAAAGAATCACTAACAATAGGAAAACCAATTATTAGCGATTTTCAGAATTATTCAACAACATTCCTTATGTCTTAACAATCTAATTGTAAAATAATTTCAAGAAAAAATAGTTAGAAATATACTTATTTTATGACTAAAACTTTACATGCTGGAAAGGATATGAAAATTGAAAAAAGCATGGAATTGAAAAACAATAACAAAGTTTTTACTACTTTGTAAAAAATAAATAACATAAATTGTAAGTAAATGTACAAATAAACAGAATAATTCTTGAATGAAATCTCTAACAACTAAGCTTTCACATAATGTCTTAATGATATCAATATAACCACACCTAATCTTAGCCAACAGTGCAGGAGTCAAACGACTTCTCTTAGCACCTCTCCCTCGAAAATTCATTATTATTTCATGGAATCACACTATATCTCCTCAAAAACAAATATTCTAAAACCGCAGTTTTAACTTTTAGCTGCTTCCAATAAGGTTATCTCTACCCGCGAAAGAAAACAAAAGCTCATCTGTTAACTTACCTTCCACTGTTATTCGTGTGATTTCCATAATTATGATGGTTGCTATGATGAGGTGGTGGATAGTGATCGTGAGGAGTCCAAGATGCTCCACGTCCACTTCCCGGTGATGGACCGTCCGTTTCTCTTCCGTAATATTCGTAACCGTGCCCGGCGGAACGTGGCGGCCTTTCGTCCCATTCGGCACGCATTCTTTTCATCGGGGGTGCCATATCTTGAGAACGTGCTGGACTGTACCGTTCTCTCGCACTACCTCCTCTGTAGTCTCGGTAATCCGGACGTGCTCGTGGCCGCGATGACCATTCTCGTCGCGGTGGACTGAAATAAGATAAGTTGGCTTCTTAACGGGCCCTGGATAATTTGATTAAGACACTTAGAAGAATTCATAAGGTAAAAGTGTACTACACTTTTACTTTGATTTAATTGAGCATCACATTATAAACAAAAATAGCTACAATGATTGCTAGGCTTATTTCGTTAAAATAATTGTTTCTTGATATATTAAAAGAAAATATTCACTGCTGTAATAACGAATTTTTATGTATCAATGTATTACGGTACATTAATAACATATTAATTAAATCTTATTAAACACAATATATTAATTTAACATAAATACAAAATATTGATTGCAAAATCTTTGAAATGTTATCTTTAGTGACTTTATAAAAAAGGCAGCACATCGGACAGTGTCAAATATATCAAATATGTATCATATGAAAAAAGATAATTGCATTACTTACTTTGTCCAATATCTCCTCACATAGAAAGTCTCTAAGAATATCTAGTATTTCAGAATTATGCTACACAGCATCTACAAAATATGTAAAATGATAATTACCTGTCAGGCCAATCATCTGCGGCTGCTCTTCTTCTATCTTCTCTTCCACGTCCTTCTCTGTAAGATTCTGTCCTTTCTCCTCTGAATTTGTCCCTCCTTTTCCGATCATACTCATCATCTGAATCTGCCATGATTATTTAATCTAGAAATTATAAATCTGACATTAAGTATATTTTTTTATGATAAAATATCTTCTGATAAAATATCTTCTGACAAAATATATACTAGTACAATGTAAGATATATAAATAGAATATTGTCTGTAGTCATTATTATTGTCAATAAAAAAAATGTACTCTAAACTTATTTTCTTCAAAATAATATTATGTAAACCATAATTTGAAGCAGATATGAGTTTCATGTAAAACTTTGAAAACATTTATATTATGACTGAACACTCAGTATTTAACAATTAAAAATCACTATACCATTAATTCATTCATACTACTCAGAAATTAAAACTTGTCTACGATTGCTTTAAATTCTATTATTTTCACAAACATTTAATAAACTTAATAATTTCCCTATATTTAAATAAATCCACATTGTCTAAAATATGTAAAAAAATGAAATTTAATTAAAATTGAACACCATACAACGAAAAAATTCTTCTCAAACTATTGATAATAATCAAGCAAGTCGACAACACATTAATAGGCCTTGACCTCGACACTTCTATGTGCATGACTACCTATGCGTGTTTTAGTACGAGAAATCTCAAATACGCACTCGAATTTTCCAAATCCTAACCTTAAAAGTTTGCTTTATCTACTTCATTCTAAATAAAGAGCATCTAATTCTATAAGAATATAATTAAACTTTTCAATGACACTTGCTGCGTAACAATCAACTACTTTATAAAAATCTAGGTAAAACCACACCTACACTAACACAGATTTATGCGAATTTGGTGGCAGTCTGTCTACTTTGTGCGCGTCATGACGCTTTTATTAGCATTTTACAAGTTTCTGTTCAGTCGAACTTAAATAAACAACAGATAAATTTCATTAACTTTACCTTTGATAAAATCTGTAGCAAGAGAAGTTATCAATTTGCCAAGAAAAAATCTTCACGTAGCATACGACGATGAGATCTTGATGCTGTAGAATCAGCGAAGAGAGTAAGGGAAGGGAAAAGTAATGACGCGCACACTTGTGTTGCTTACCGGCGAAGGCACCGAGGAGGGAGAGCGACGGGTCTATTCGTTGACGACGCGGAAGTGTATGAAATAGTATCCCTACTCTTTAAAATGGCGCGTAATTGAGCAAAATTTAAATCCTTTTATTTTTTTATCCTTTTATTTTAATTATAAAAAACAGATGGGTCTGAAAGTGAAACCAGTTTATTCATGATCTGATTAGCTGAATTTTGCTCACGTGGGTTACTATCTGTAATGGTATGTATGGGTATGTACAAGAAAGTTGGTAGCAAAAGTAGCAAATCGGTAATAATAAATGGCTCGAGTTATAACAATTGATTAAATGAATGAAAAGTAAGACAATTCATAGGTATTAGAAAAAGAATAAAATTCACTTTCACCCGACGGCTTAACTTTAAAATAATATGGTTAAATTATCTTAATTCACTTAAATTACATTTATTCTCAGGACATGTAGATTTATTGAATATTTATGTTATCAAGTTTAAATTTGAATAAATATAATCAACAATAAAGAGTATATAATTTTTTTTAAATGCTTCTGAAATAAAAAATGTGGCGGATGAATAGATGGAAGATAAGAGCAACGTTGATTATACTAAAAAAGAAAATTAAAAAATTTAGTTTATGAAAAGCATTGCCCTAAATGAGCTGGAACTGATTTCCAATATTTTTTTCGACAAAATAAATCGATTAATATGAGGATATCATGCAAAAAGTCTTGAATCGTAGACAAATATGTTAAGAAATAAAAGGAAATTTTGTCAGGCGCAGCTACGATGGTTCAATTTATTTTGAAAATGAAAAAGAAGAAACGAACTTAGTGCACTTTCTATTAACTATAGTTAAACACCTAAAAATTTGCTGCGTTATTGGATTTGAAATTACAATTAAATTTAAAAATATAATTTTAATTTTTTCTTTCCCAGTTATAAAACGAAATATTAGTACAAATGAAAGCGCTTCGCGCGCTTGACGACTCTAGTAAATAAAAAGATGACAAAATGCTCAAAACTTAAAAAATCTGTAACTAAACTCATCAGTTTGCAGGTGTATTTCGAACTTAAACTTAATACCAATGTACGAATCGCAAAACCGACCAGATGTTACTTAAAGATTACTTAAATGATGAGCTCCGATCGATCGCCTCTTATAAGAAACTCACGCCCTCTCCCCTGGAGTATCTTTCCAGCTCTCCAACTAGTGATTTTGGAGTTATTGCCAACTCAAAATTTTAAATGCCAATATTGTCAATTAAAATCAAAATACCTATAAAGTGCTGCGCTTATTTTATATTTTTCATCCATTATTTGATAATAATTGGATTTTTTAATAACGAATGGAAAAATCCTTTCAACGTCCAACTATTACAGCGCTCATAATAATGAAGCACTATTATTACAAGTAGCCGTTATATTTATTTTACTGAGAAAGGCGTTGAAACCATAGTACCCAGAATGACATCCGTTGATGGTGGTAATAATTTCTCTAGGAAGGTTGAGGCCAACGAACCAAGGCTTGGGTTGGGTTGGGCTTTTTGATATGTCGTAAAGAAGTCTTCGTCTTTGAACTGAGCTTGAGATGAGATAATGACATTGGTATATTGGAGACCGCTAACTTTTTGTGAGTTTATCGAAAATCAGTGAAGGAAATTTTAACGGATAGGTAGGGATCTGAAAGAAAGGCTTCTTTGGCTAGTTCGTCGTCGATATCGTTATCTCGGATTCCTAAGTGTGATAGGATCCAAATGAGGAAGATGACGTCTTTAAATAGTGTAAATAGAGCGGGAGAATTAAAAAATTTTTCTTTTTATTTAAAATACGTAGGAATTGGCTTGAACAGACGTATTAAAATTTTTAAGAGCGAGTAGGGTGCTTAGTAAGTCGGAAAAGATGAAGTAGTTATGAGAAGGGTTAAATAGCACTGTCCAGAGCTTGCGAAATAATAAAGCATTCTGCAGTGAAGATAGAGGCGGTATTGCTCATACGTATATTGGTGCTTTTATTCCCGGCCGGACAAATGCAAGCACTGCCTACTGACGCATCATGAGGGGACTTGCTGCCGTCTGTGTAAATGGCGATCGAATCCTTGGTTGCGATTATATTATTAATCTTAGTGTTCGGGTTGATTGAGATTCTTATCGAGTAACATATGTCTGTGTTGATGTTCAATATTGGAGATAGTAGACTTATATTCTTAGGTGTATATTTTGTAACCGGCGTTAGTGTATATAAAATTTTCTGAGTCACTAAGATATTTGGTGCAAGTGGAAATAATACATTGGTTGTGTGAGAAGCGATGATTTGGATTTAGTAGTTTTTTTTTTAAACGATAAATGTTATGACAAGACGGAAGCTTTGTATTTGAGACTATTTTGTGCAAGTAGCAAGAACATATAAACTTTGTGCGTTCTTATATTAGAGTCAATTTTAATTCAAAAAGGAGGATATTGTTAGGGGTACTTTTTTGGAAGCCGAGGGTTAGTCCAATTGCAAAGAGTTGAATTCTCTCGAGTTTGTCTATTTTTTTGATTCAGGTGATTCGGATGAAATAAATAAAGCAGCCATAATTTATGTAAGAACGAACATAGCTTTTGTACAGAATTAGAAGAGTTTTTGGATCGGTGCCCCGCCATGTGCACCACCTCTTACAAATTTTATAATGTTTATAGGGATCGTAGACTTTTAGGGACTACTGTATCGATTTGATTTTTAAAGTTCAGCTTATGGTCGAGTATCAGTCCTAAGAACCTAACAGAGTCGTTGAATGGTAGAGTGACGTTATCAATAGTAATTTCAGAGGAGCCCGGAGGGATGTTTTGATTATTAAAATGCATGAAAACGGTTTTGGTCGTACAAAATTCAAAGCCTAAATTAGAGAGATTATTAATTACAGTTTTTCCAATAGTTCTGTATGCGATTTATTATTGTGTCTACAGTAGACAACAATGTCGTCAGCAAACTGGGAGACGCTTTTGGGCAGACCTTTGAGAATGTCGGCGACATAGATACAATATAGAAGAGGACTTAAGACGCCACCCTGCGAAACGCTTGGATTAGCTGTACTAGATGCTGAACCTAGACTATCAGTGAAAATGGCTCTATTGGTTAATAAAAATTGTCTAAATTTGATAAGATTCAAGAGGCAACCCATATTTGCCAGCTTTTAAAGTTCGGGAAGGAGATCAATGATGACCTTGTCGAAGGCACCCGTGACGTCTAGAAAGGTAGCTAGGATACTGTTTTTATTTGCAAATATCGTTCTACGTTCACATCGTTGTTCGACGTCTTGAACTTGTTTATAGCATTAGGCTCAAAAATTAAATAGTCCATTTGATAGAATGGAAAAAATTACAAGAGAAATCGTAGACAAATTTATTAAACTTGAACCATTTCAGAATATCCGTTGTTTTCAATGTTTCAGGCCCATTTTTAGGTCCAAAAAATTAATTATTTAAATATTAAGTAACGTCATATCTGGACATAAAATTGCCCGTAGAATCTAAATCTGTAATAAAACGTAGAGGTTTCTACAAGAAATACAAGGCAGCATGGAAAAAATCACAAAAGAAACATTATTGAAATTTACAAAACTCTACTCTCTGGAACAAACCTTTAGATGTTCCCGATTTCTTTACTTACCCTGTATTTCGATTGTAGCCGTTGCGTCTAAAAGATAAGTACCACTGCTGCCGGTGAGTGCTGCGCGATCTGTATTCTTCGTTGAATTTTATTTGTATTAGAACTGTTAGACTTTGGATTCCGTTAGTTCTGGTACTGCGTCGCATTAATAGCTATGTGTTTTTGTAATTTAGAAAGTTAAATATATGATTTGTAATAATTCTGACCTTGTGTCTAATAATTTGTGCTAAATGAAAACGTAAATGTTACACAATTATTATGTGAAGAAATTTGAAATTCCTCTACATACGTGAACGCATTTAACCAAAGTTATTGAGCATATAGTCAGGTTAATTTATTTAGTTTTCAAAAAATAGAGTAATTTTCGCTGGTCATGTAACGTATAGTTCAAATATTAAATTATGTAGTGTTTTATGAACGATCGAGTACGTATCATCACAATCATTGTTCACAGTACTCGTATTAAATATCAAATTAATAACCAGCAAATAAAATTTTAATCAGTTACCTATAATCTATATCTAGTCGTAGTCCTATTCGCACAATGGCATCGGTCGTTCACTGACCGAGCGACGAGTTAGCTGTACTGACTGCTTAGATATTTACCGCACAGATTCTGCTTACTGCTGCTGCACCGGTTACTGTAATGACGCATGCGCATTAGATACCGGGTGCCCTCGCCTCGTTTTTTCTCCTGCTTGCTCAATACACGCACAAAACACTGTAAGCGGTGAAACAAGAGAGCAAGCAAGACCCAGCCCCAGCATATACCTACTACACAACGCGTGATGTGTCATTTCCTGCGTGCAGCAACTCAACAACCTCGTCGTCGGTGAGAGAGCACAATATAATTGCGTGCAGCATCCTTGTGGATTTTTTCGGCAAGAATCCCGCTGAATTTACCTTCGGCGATAATGGTAAGTTACTCGCGAAAGCGATCGTTTTTTTTTCTCGTGGGAACCATAGCTTGTGTTGAGAGTATTGAGGTTATGAATATTATAGTGAATATTCAAGTTGTTTTTTTTTTAATGCATGGTTTATTATGAAAATGATTAACAAGATTATGTGGTTTCTATTTTAATAATGTTGACCCTTGACAAGAGCCTTATTTGCCAGATTTTAAGTAGGTGATGAGCTCACCTTGATACGTGTTTGCAAAGTGGAGTAATGAAGTCATAAGTAGTTATCAATCATATCAGCACTTCAAGTTTTGAATACTTATTTACTCAAGACGTGTTCTTATGAACGTAGAATGGTATACACTTGAATTCCGTTATTTATCAAGTTCAGTGTTTTTTTTTAATGTAACTGGTTTACTTGCTTTGTATTGAAATATTTTAAATGTGCGGCATTGTTTTAGAAGTTTTATTTGACAATTAAATTCCATAGAATCAAATAAAATAATGTGCAGAATAATGAAAATGTTCTATTATTTACCACAAGTATAGTTAATAATAAAAATTTTATTTCAGTCAAGCTCTTTAAAGCCTTACCTCACAGCAGTGAGACGCACATTGACTGCAGCTATGTGTCTTGAGAATTTTTCATCTCAAATTGTTGAAAAACACAATAAGCCAGAAGTAGAAGTAAGAGCCAGTAAAGAGTTGCTTTTGACACCAGTTTTAATCAGCCGGAATGCCAATGAGAAAGTCCTCATTGAATCAAGTATAAATAGTATGAGAATAAGCATAGCTGTGAAACAAGTAGATGATTTAGAGAGAATTTTGTGCCACAAATTCACAAGATTCATGATGATGCGAGCAGAAAACTTTATGATCTTGAGGAGAAAACCTGTACCAGTATGTATTGACTTTTATTTAAGATATTTTTTTATAAAATGCGTTTTATTGATTATCAATTTTTACAGGGCTATGATATTAGCTTTCTGATTACTAACATCCATACAGAACAGATGTATAAACATAAAATTGTGGACTTTGTTATTCATTTCATGGAGGAAATTGATAGAGAGATCAGTGAAATGAAACTGTCAATGAATGCTAGAGCTCGTACATGTGCTGAAGAGTTTTTAAAGAGGGTACAAAAACATAAATTTTGTAACTCAAATATAAGAATGAAAATTCCAATACTAAATTCTAATTTTGTTTCTTTAGTTCTAGTCCAAAGCTTCTAAAAGGTACTAAATTTGAAAAAGAAACAAGAATGCAGTTATGACATGGATGTATTCTGTTGAGAAAACTACCTATCGTCTGTTATCTATCTCTGGTTTTGTGCACTCTGGAATAGTACCAAACTTTACCTTGTTATTGCTGTTGGTAGTGCATCGTATGAGTGAAAATCTATGTGCTAAAAAAATGAAAAAAAAAATGATATGAACTATGAGTGCTCTGAATACAAGCACAATGAAGTAGAAAGTGTGTGAATGTCATTTTTGTATGTATGCAGCATTCTCAAGGGAATACTGAGTCTTTCACATACTTACTTGAGTAACTAAATTTATAATTCAAACTTACTTGTTTCTGTGATTTAAGAAATCCTTGTGTTTTTAGTATAATCGGTTTGGTTTAAATATAGCATGATTTATATTTGATCAGTTATCTGCTATATCAAAAAATTAATAAAAAAATTTGGTACCATTGTTATTCAAGTAAGTCATAAAAATAGTGTGCCAGTCATATTGGGCACTGGATGCCTTTGGATATCGAAACTGCTAAAGTCAATTTAATATAATTGGCTATCAGTCACTGGTCGCAACTGACAAGGCTCTGTGTTAGCCGTGGGGGCATTTTTTTTTTGTAAAGTGTGTTTACTCAAGGTCTTTATTAACGAATCGCAATATTATGTTAAGGATCATGAGTATTCCGACTGAGATTGGCATTTATCGTATTTTATTTACATGTTCTTTTTTTTTCAACAAAATACGTATTAGAAATCAATTACTTAATTAACCAGAAGAAAAAATTGTTATAATTGTGTATTATAATGTCGATGAACTAACATGACTTCTCTGTGTGAACACAATAAAATTTCGTCAGATATATATTATTTCGTACATAGTAAATAATATGAATAAATAAGCAGGGAAAAAGTATTCAAATATAATTATTAATAGTTTTCTTTTCGAGATCGAGAGATTTCTTATATTTAAATACTTGAAGGATTGCGTTTAACAATTAGTTGATACGCTCATAAGCGCGCAACAAGAATGAGAATGATTGTATTAAAGGTACATAATACTAAGAAGCTCAAGTAAGTTGTTGGATAAAAACGTGAATTACGTCGAATGGGTCAGTGTTGAGCAAGAATATTATTAACGTCCACATGCATGTTCTTCGAAAAAAAAAAGAAAAATGGAATTCCTTTTTTCTTTTTTGAATGATGTGTACAATAATCGAGTTCAACGACTGCCAATTTGTTGAAGTTACGCATCTTTGTAAAACTCGTTCCTTGCGACGCACTGAATATTAAATGATGAACTCGAGGCAACTCTGTTGTATATTGTCATTTTTGTAATTCGCGCGAGGCATATTTACAATCTGCTCCTACCATCTTATACCTTATATTTATAATAAAAGCTCGCTCGAACATCAGGAAACGTTTCTTGGTTTTCATTTACCGAATCTGTAATTTGTCTAGTTTTACATTTTTATCGTACTACATTTTTAATCATAAAAATAAAAAATTTATTACTTAAAACGCGCCGATTAATTTTATATTTGTATTACATTTTGTGTACTTAAAAAACCAACAAATAAGATTTATTAAAAAAATACAAATCGAAGAGACCATATGGTTGTAGTTGTTTGTCTATATAAAATGATCATAGTCTATTCTTATATTTGAATTGAATCTAACAGTATCAAGTAAAACTGCTTGGCATTTATAGCATCACATAAATCACATCACGAGTGAAAAGTCAATCGAAACTCCGGTTGCAACGGTACACCATACAAAAATAAAACTTTCATGCATACATCTCATCTATAGAAAAAAACACCTTCGCCTACATTCTTCACACGCATAGGCAACTTCAAATGCATTCTACAACACCTCTATGAAGCAGCGCCATTGGTGTATGCAAAGTAGTGTGTTCCGCGTAGCGAAAAAGCAACAATTGCATCGGCAAGCCACGCACGGGGAAGCGTGCGGCGAATCGTCATGCGTGTCACGGTGCACATGAGCGCCAGGTCGCGAGTGGCATTCAACGGCTATGTGGATATATTCCTCGTGGTGGAATTTCGTGGAATGCGTGACTTTTATCCTTTCTCTCTCTCTCTCTCTCTCTCTCTCTCTCTCTCTCTCTCTCTCTCTTTCTCCCTCTCTCTCTCTCTCTCTCTCTCTCTCTCTCTCTCTCTCTCTCTCTCTCTCTTTCTCTCTTTTTTTTTGTCATCGTAAAGTGCAAGCAGAGTTGTTGCACCGTTTTATTACGCGTGATTGAATTTGAGCCAGGAGTTCTAGTATTTTTGTTATTTTTACATTGAGTGCGGGAGTGGAATTCGCTGCATTAGTTGAGAGGTACCATTAGTATTTATTTTTTATAACTATTTAGAATCATTCGACTTTTTCACCTCACACTCAAGATATTCACTAAGTAATCCGTATCATTTTTTAATATACAGTTACCAAATTTTTTTAAATAACTTTCATCAATTTAAACTTCAAATGCTTAACAAATCTTTCAAAAAGCTTCTCAGCCATTTCAATACAATTACAATCTCGTATGAAAATCGTGACGCGCATCAAAACTCACATTCCTCTTTAAAAGCTGCCGATTCTCAATCGAACTTATATAAAAGCGAAGATACACAAACGACAAAAAGCTCAATCTCGCAAGCACGCACACACAGACGAGAAGAAAATAAGAATGCAACCGAGCCCTTGGGTATTAGAAGCTTTCTTTTCCTTTCTCTCTTATTCGTTTACCTTCTTTCTTTTTCTCGCTCGAGTGCACCCAACATTCCTGCTCGTACACTCGTATCAGCCGCGCTGACTGTTTAATCTCTTGTTCTTACGTCGGAAGCTTTTTTCCCGTGTGTACGCGTACACAAAAGGCGAACAATAAAAGCGCAGCCGCGTCTATCGATGGCAAATCCCTCGCTGCTCTTTGAATGTTTTATTGCGTGATCGTGATTTTTTAAATTTTTCGATAAAGGATAATGGAAAAATTTATTGTTTTTCCAGTTTCTGTAGCGCTAATTTCTCTCCTCGAGCACGGTCTCCAAATAAATAATATTTTCAAACTCGCGAAGCAAAAAAGAGAGTCCAAGCCCACCTTTAAAAACAAGCACATACATCACATGTACATACACACACTCTTTCGCATGAAACTCTTGAACTTAAGTTGTAAGAAAACTTTTAAAATCTACGTGCTGAAAATACCAATTATTTGAGTGAGCCGAAAAATTACTCTCGCCGTGAGGAAAAAAGGGTCGTCCATTCTTCTTCATTTCCGGGCGTAGGGGAGAAAAACAAACGAATTTTTCCCACGTGAGCTTTTCGTAAGTTTTTATCGGCTGCTTTTAGCTGTCTGATTTTTGTTCTTCTACTTCGCCTGTTGTAAGCACTTTCGAGGGATGTATTTGTCTTCGACCGATTGCGCATAGCTTTGAGGAAGACGATAAAAAAAAGGGTTGGGTAATGTATGCGACTCTACTACAAACTGGTTAGTCTATGGAAACGTAACGCAAAAAAAATTTATAGTTGACACGAAAACTTGAAACATTTAAAAATAAAAATAATATTTTATTTTCTCTGCGATTTTGATAAATGTAATAAAAAATGTATGTTCGTAACAAAACATTTTACTTTATGCCCGAAAGTAATTTGTTAATATCCAATATGAACATTCGTTATTAAAATATTAAATAATGCAATTAATTGCGGTAAAATTAAAATACAAATTGCTGAATGATCTTCTGATTTGAAAGTATGAAGTATAAAAGCAATGATTTCCTTAAATAAGAAAATCTTTGAACAGTATTATTCGAAGAGTACCAAAATTTGTCGAATACAAGCTTCCAGTAAACGTCACAAGTATTTAAAAAATGTTATTTGTTCTCCATTCAAAAACGGTTCTGAAATTCTCAACAAGAGCACCATCTATCTCTGAAGTAGTGGTCCTGCCACAAAGTACAAAAAACCTCACATACAGCCACGTACACATACGCACACAAACTCACAGAGCAAAGAGTTATACTCCCTCCCGTTAGAGCAAAAGGGAAAGGTTCGGCTTGGTTGCGCCGACGCGGCGCCTGCATAGAGCTTTTTCGCGTTGGCGCGAGCGAGAGAGCGACGCAAGCTCAGCAGCAAGCAAGGCAAGTCAGTTTCAGTCGAAGTGTGGCTAGCGTCACAGGAGGTAGGATGCAGCCTGCTGCTGCTGCTGCTACTGCTAGGCGCGTCACGAATACGCAAATACAAACGCGGCGCTTACTTGCCGCTCATACGTACTTACCGCAAGCTACTTAAAAACAGAGGCGCCGAGACATACACACAAGGAGGAAAATCGAAAAAAAAAAAAAAATTAAACGTGATACTTTTAGACTCAAATGTTCATCCCGGACACACTGAGGAGCTGCATGGTGGAACCGGATGTCTCGACTTATCTGCAAGCCCCTTCCGTAGGACAGGTCAGTTTCTTTTTCCTTTATCTTCTAAAGTGTTTAGGTTAGGGACGATTTTTCGTCGTTTTTATTCAGCTTTTTGAGCTTTCTTGGACAAGGGATATTTTCTGGTTCTGTATTGTTTAGATAGATTATAGATTGAGGTTATTTTCATTGTGACACATACATGCGTAAGAATTTATTTTTTGTGTCAGTTGAACGTTCGATAACAGAGCTTGCACGCACTATTTGGATGTGTTGGAATTTTTTGGCTTTCGATTACGTGATTATTGTCTTGGCAGTTATAACACGTGAGGTTTGTACACGCGACTAGTAAGTAAATGACATTTATAAAACATATCAAGCATTTCAAATTGTTATTATTTGTTTTATATCATTTAAATTACGTAAAGAAGTGGGCGACATTTCATTTAATTTGTTAAAATTTAGATAGCTCTCTATTGCAAAGAAAGACTTTTTTAAGTGGTAGTTTTTTATCGTAATAAGAAACAAACGAAAAAAAAACAATCCATATTTGTTATTCGAGCAATCTGTACATAAGATTTATTGATCACTTCAATCTGCAAACAACTCCAATCAATCTTCAAAAGACGCAATAAAAGTCCACCCGAAAAAAACGAGATATCTACGGCATTCGAATTTTTCAAAAAAAAAAAAAAAAAATGGGAGAGAAAACTCGTCTAGCAAACGAGGCAATCAATTGAATCTCCCGTCAATCGGCGCGCCGCAGAGAGCAGCCCGAAAATATTGACACTGCCTTCCCTCTCTGGACTGCTGCTGCAGTGTCGAGCACGTGCGCGCCGCATAGTGTCGCGTCGTCTATTATGTATTTCCTTCTCCACGCTCTTCTATTTTTTTTGTTCGTCGATGGTGTATGTGTGAGCTGTAATCATTACGTAACCGAAAACGATCGATCGATATTATACACTGGAATGACAATTATGCATTGCGCGAGGGTTCATACGGATGGTGAGAAGCGAATGAGAGATAGGAAGAGGAAAATGTTTGGGATGATACTGATAATGTATGTGTGATCGTTGGTCGTGTGTTTTCATTGTTGATTGTCAGAGTCAGAGTAAAGAAATTTTATAAATAATATGAATATTTTAATTTCGAAAAAAGTTTCAACTATTGACGATTCAATGTCAAAAATGATGAAGTATTATCAAAAATATTGATATAATCCATAAAAATGAAAATTTTGACTTTAAAAATAATAATAATTGAAAAAATCCTGAACTATATTAGCATTTTTAATGTATTGTAGTGAAAACTGTTTTGTAGAGAAAAATACCGATGCGTTTGGATTTCTTTACATTTCAAATACATAATAATTTCACAATTCATCATTATAAGAAAATAATATCCTAATTCTTTAATATTACTACTACGTGTTATCGTTTTAACGAATTTGTCCAGAAAAAATTTTCACGCAATCGCGAAAAAAAAAACGACAAAAAGCAAATACAACTCTCCGAAAAAAAAAAAACGTCCAAACGATATTCATCGGACAAAACGAGAAAAGAGTCAGAGATTCGCGTCGAATTTTTGCCTATACGTACACCGTCAGAGCTTTTGCCGGGCGCAAATTGAGCGGCACGCGAACCTGTCGGGGGATTGCCCGTCATCATCGGCTGCGATTTTTGCGATATTCGCTCTTTTCCATCCTATCTTCCACCGCCGCTTTTAAAAAAGTTTCACTGAACATACGCCCAATTGCTTATACCAAAGTTTTTTGAACGATGAAGCCATTTGATTCTTATCTGCCTTTTTTTACCTTTACAAAATTTATTCGATTCGCGTCGGTTAATTTTTTTCGGACTCGTTCCTCGGAGTGTTTCGATGGATGCGTTTAGCATGCCTAGCTCCGAATTCATTGCTTTTTACTGTTCAAATAAGTAACATTTCATTAATTGGTGGAGCAGGAGCATTTCATTAATTACGCGATATATCACTAAAAATTTGTTGATAAACGTTTTACTAACCACTTCGTTTGAAATTACAATGACCATCATAGAAACAAAAATAGAAGAAGTTAAACGAAAATGAGCAGTTTAACAAGATAACTTTATCAATTCAATTGCGAAAACTTTAATAACTAATTTATCTGTATTGAGAATCTTTAGAAGATGGTTGTGGGGGAGGTAGACGGAAA